TGTAATACATGCATTAATTTTCTATTTTTAGTACAATTTGTGCACATAACTTTTGGTTCAAATTTTATACACTGATGATCAGAGGTAAACACTCTGCGAAATAATGAAAATATTAAACACATTTTTAACTCTTCTTCTGTCATCATACTTTGAAAAGTAATATGCATATTGCTTTTTCTATATAGCAATCAAGAGTAAATACTATAACTGAATAACCAAAAAAAGCAAAAAAAAAGCTTATACATATATAAGCTAGATATTTAAGTTCAATTTTCAATACTGTGTACTTTTTTCATATATTCACTATTAAATAATCTATAATAGGTTTTGTTTTCCATTTAATCTTATCAGTAAAATTCTGTGACAATTGTAGTAAGTTCTTTTCAGTGAACTATTTATAATCATATAAGCTTTTCCAGTCAAATCTAATACTTTCTAATAAGCAGGATTATTAGATAGTAGAATATATCAATAGTCAGGCCATTACTGAAATAGTGATGAAATAATTCTAAATTTATGTGAAAACTCTATAGGTCTTTAGGATACAATCTTGATATTTACTAAAAGCTTTAATTATATTTGCGTATATATATGGTAGAATCTATAAAAATATAATTAGATTACTGAATATATGCTTACTATTGTTAATATTAGGGCTTATCTTTGAAGATCTATTATTACTTACAAGTGGTAATTTCTTTTCTTTTTCTAATACTTTTTCATCAATATTTTTCAAAAGGATATCTTTATTAGATTTATCAAATAATGATGCTAATTCTTTATTTGATTCATTGTCCTCTCTTTTTCTTTTAAAATCTTTAGCAGAAGTAAAGGCTTCAGTTTCATTCTTCATTTGTATTTTAATCTAATATTACTTTTAATATAAACATTAAATATTAATAAAAAAAAATTAATACAAACCTCTGAAATAACAAAGAGATTTTAAGAGCTATCACTGTTATCGTTCATACTGGATTTTGTCTATGAGATAATATTTTTTTCCACCTTCTCTACATTAGTAGATATAGTATTACATGCAGTATTATAAGAAATCATTTGTACTTTTCGCTATAACCAAATCTATAACTCATTAGAAGGCTCTCAATAGTAAATACAATAT